GAACCATGGTCTCTAACTCGATTTCCTACTGCAGTTCAAGGAAGACCAAGATTCCTGGCTCCTGGTCGACAAGATCCTCGCCGAAGCGACCCACCCTCAAACAAAGTGTATGTTGGGCGCGAACCACCAAGACGGCGCGGTGCAAAACAGCTGACGGTTTTTAGTCTTGGGATTGCAGGTGCTCGACAATGTCATTATGACGAGATGGAAGGTTCTGCCTAGAGACCAGTGCCAAGGTTCGTGAATTTGTTTTTAACTTCCTGTACTCGTATTGACAATGTTCAGGCATCCGCAACTTCGTCGTGCAGTTCATTATCCAGTGCTCGAGCTCCGAAGAGTCGATGAAGGAACAGAAGATCCTGCTGAACAAGCTCAACATCGTTCTCATCTCGATCCTGAAGCAAGAATGGCCTCACAACTGGCCCACGTTCATCAACGAGATCATCACGTCGTGCCACTCCAGTCTGTCAATTTGCGAGAACAACATGGTCATTCTGCGCCTGCTGTCCGAGGAGGTATTCGACTACTCCGCTGAGCAAATGACATCCACCAAGACCCGGAATCTGAAGACCACCATGTGCGCCGAGTTTTCTCAAATCTTCACCCTCTGCCAGGAGGTCCTGAATACCGCCGACCAGCCGAGCCTGGTCAAGGCCACCCTCGAGACATTATTGCGCTTCTGCAACTGGATTCCCCTCGGTTACATCTTCGAGACGCCGCTCATCGACACCCTGCGCACACGGTTTTTGCCTGTCCCCGAGTTCCGAAACATCGCCCTGCAGTGTTTGACCGAGATTGGCGGTCTGCAAACCGGTGGGCCCGGCCAGCCCAATTCGTACGATGAGCAGCTGGTCAAGATGTTCACCGAGGTGCTGACCACCATCGCCACCATCATTCCCATCACCCTCGACCTCAAGTCGACATATAGCCAAAGCAACTCTAGAGACCAGGGCTTCATTCAGAATTTGGCTCTTTTCTTGTGCAATTTCTTCGGCATGCACCTGAATGTGAGACGACTCCCTCTCTCTTGCTGCTTCTGTGTTGAAGCTAACATTTCGCAGCTTATTGAGAACTTGCCCAACCGGGACTTCCTTACTCACGGTCATTATTACCTAATTCGCGTATCCCAGATCAACGACCGCGAGATCTTCAAGATCTGCCTCGATTACTGGCTGAAGCTCGTCAACGAGCTCTACGATGAGATGCAGCAGCTCCCCATGACCGAGCTTAACCCCCTGATGGGCATGGCCGGTGGCATGTCCGGAGGCGGCGCGCCGAACCCGTCGCTGCTCAACAACTACCCGCTCCGTAAGCACAAGTACAACGAGGTCCTGTCCAACCTTCGCACCGTCATGATTGAGAAGATGGTCCGTCCTGAGGAGGTCCTCATTGTCGAGAACGATGAGGGAGAAATCGTCCGCGAGTTCGTCAAGGAGAGCGACACAGTACAGCTTTACAAGACCATCAGAGAGTGTTTGGTGTACCTGACGCACTTGGACGTTGTCGACACCGAGAACATCATGACGGAGAAGCTCGCCCGGCAGGTTGATGGCAGCGAGTGGTCATGGCACAACTGCAACGTTCTTTGCTGGGCCATTGGTTCGATTTCACTGGCCATGAACGAGGAGACTGAGAAGAGATTCCTCGTCACTGTCATCAAGGATCTCTTGGGCCTCACCGAGATGAAGCGCGGCAAGGACAACAAGGCCGTTGTCGCCTCCAACATTATGTACATTGTTGGACAATACCCCCGGTTCTTGAAGGCTCACTGGAAGTTCCTTAAGACTGTCGTCAATAAGCTCTTCGAGTTCATGCATGAGTCGCACGAGGGTACGTCTTACTTCACATTGTTTATGAATATCATGCTGACCCCTCGCAGGTGTCCAGGACATGGCTTGCGATACCTTCATCAAGATCGCGAGGCAGTGCCGTCGTCACTTCGTTGCCCTGCAGCCCAGTGAGCAGGAACCCTTCATTGAGGAGATTGTTCGCAACATGCACAAGATCACCTGCGATCTCTCGCCTCAGCAAGTGCACACTTTCTACGAGGCATGCGGTTACATGGTGGCTGCTCAGGGCAATAAGCACCAGCAGGAGCGTCTGCTCAGCGATCTGATGGCCATTCCGAACGCGGCGTGGGATGAGATCATCAAGCAGGCCCGGGTCAACCCCGTCATTCTCCAGGATGCCGAGACAATCAAGGTTATTGGCAACATCATGAAGACGAACGTCTCCGCTTGCACATCCATCGGCCCCTACTTTTACCCCCAGATCGGTCGCATCTTCCTCGACATGCTCCAGATGTACCGTGCTACTAGTGAACTCATTTCCGAGGCTGTCCAGAAGCAGGGTGAGTTAGCACATACAACCTTGCAAAGAATCATTTGGCTGACAATTTACAGGTGAGATCGCTACCAAGATGCCGCATGTCCGTGGACTGCGTACGATCAAGAAGGAGATCCTCAAGCTCGTTGAGACGTACGTTGAGAAGGCCGAGGATTTGCAATCTGTGCGCCAACAGATGGTGCCGCCCTTGCTGGAGTCCATCCTGATCGACTACAACCGCAACGTGCCAGGCGCCCGTGACGCCGAAGTCCTCAAGGCCATGTCTGCGATTATCACCAAGCTATCCACTTTGATGGAGGACCAGGTCCCGAACATCATGGAGAACGTCTTCGAGTGTACTCTGGATATGATCAACAAGGACTTCTCTGAGTTCCCTGAGCACCGTGTCGAGTTCTTCAACCTTCTTCGGGCGATCAACCTTCACTGCTTCCCCGCGCTGTTGAAGCTGGATAACCGCCAGTTCAAGTTCGTCATCGATTCATGCTCGTGGGCGTTCAAGCACGACAATCGCGACGTGGAGGCTGCCGGACTTAACATGTGCTTGGAGCTAATCAACAACATTGCGGAGAAGACCGATGTGCAGACGGCCAATGCCTTCTTCCAGCAATTCTTCATCACCATCCTGCAGGACGTCTTCTTCGTTCTCACCGACAACGACCACAAGGCAGGTTTCAAGACGCAGTCTATGGTTTTGATGAGGATGTTCTACTTCGTGGAGCCCGCCGACGGAAGCGCGGCCAAGATCCAGGGCCCGATTTACAGCCCCGACCAGGCCGCGGCTGGCACTTCCAACAAGGAGTTCCTTGCTAACTTCGTGGCTAACCTGCTTCGTGGTGCCTTCCCCAACCTACAACCGTGAGTACCACCAAAAAAATTTACGCGTGACGAATGCTAACATGATATCCAGCGCTCAAATTCAGACCTTTGTCGAGGGCCTGTTCTCGCTGAACACCCAGTACGACAAGTTCCGTCTCAACCTGCGTGACTTCCTCATCTCCCTGAAGGAGTTCGCCGGCGACAATGCGGAGCTGTTCCAAGTTGAGAAGGAGCAACAGGAGCGGGACGCCAAGGCGGCGGACCTCGAGCGCCGTGGCAAGGTTGGCGGTCTGCTGAAGCCCTCGGAGCTGGAGGATGACGAGTTGTGACTTGCTCAAGAGTTACGAACCGAGTATGCCCCGAAAAGGAACCTCGAGAGCGTAGATAACGCGACGAGAGACTCCAAGGGACAGGACATTTTCGATGAGTGGGAGCTCTACGGGCTCTGACCAGAAGCCATGCGTCACGGACTAGAGCACGACTCACCAACCCCTGGCTCTGCGGCCCACAACCGCCCGCTCATTCTGTAGTGATACCATGGATAGATGACATGACGATTGCAGGATAACCTTTCGCCTCTTTTGAGGCCCCCTGGCGTTGACACAGACGGGGCCGTTTTTTTTTTCATTTCACTCATCTGGCAACGGAAAATGGTGAGGAGGGCGACTTGATGCCCAGTCCTTTTCCGTCCCGAAGAGGACTGGACCTTGAAGCCCACCCTGAGGCGAGTGGAGGAAATGACGGATGGAGAAGGAATAAATCAAAACAAAAGCTATACATGCAGCCAAGGCGGAACACCCATCTTAGTGGTAGAAAGCTTTTTCTGTAGGCAAATCAACAGATAGATAACACGTCATTCGTGCATTCTAGGCCTTACCTTCGTGATGCGCCTCTGAGCCTTTGAGTCATCTTGCCTCTCAGATTCAAGATGCAAGAAAAATGGTGATTATGATACCTCAGCAGCGCAGGCAATAGAGTGGGTCACGATTCTAAGTTGTGAAATAATCTATGTTGGCCCTGCATCGGTGAAACTGTTGAAGTTCTGACCGTCACCGCTCTATCTGCCGCCAATTCAGTATAGTTTCAGTCGTAGCCAAGGGGCACCTAAGAGAAAAGTTGATTATGCATAAGCCTTCACGGTTCAAATCACGTGGTTTTCATTCCTTTCAAGGAGTCTCAAACAAGCTTTTCAGCCATCACGGTTGAAGCCATCAACGCCAGTCGCGAGCCTCGATACAGTCATGGGTACAGATATCCCTCCGCCAGGCTGAACAGGCGTATATGAATCAAGTACCGGGTGAGCACTATACTATTTGATTCAAACTATCCTGTCGTACTTGTGACTCAGGAAACCCGACGTCAATTTTTTTTTTTTTTGATAAGAAGGCACTTGAAAGAACATGCATTGCTCGAGGTTGACATATCTATAAAGGCGAGTGTGTGATACAATAGTTTACCTCTCAATACCTTACCTCTATCCTTACCACTACCAAGTACCATCCTTGTTACGACTTTTCTTTTCGCTTCAAGGTAAGTTTCTCGCTCTATAATGCATTGCTCAAGGAGAATGCCTTGAGAGACGAAGTCGACGGATTTTAACAAAAGTAGTCGTTATAAGAATGAATGTGACACTCAGAGAGGCTTAAGCCGATTCCGCAGAGACGACAATTATTTTGTGGACCCATTGCACAGAACCACCAATCACGATACTCGATTCACACATCCCACCTACCTCCATCTTTTTTTTTTCTGCCAGTCGCCTTCAACGCTGTGCAGCCGAAGTGGGAGACTCATTCCTCTTCAAGTGAGTCTCATCAACGTTTTCACTTCACCTCACAATGGCACGAATATCCCTGCGGACCGGCCTCGACCGTGACGTGTACCAGATTGTAAAGAAGCTGGACGACGAGAGGGAAGGAGAGTGGCAGGCCAAGAAGAGCAGGGACAGAGACGGCGGCGCAAAGAGAAAGAGACCACCGAGGCTGACAGTGACGGCGATCTATGAGTCGATTAAAAAGTCCAATTCGAGCCTGAGCAGGCAAAAGCGGAAGCCGCTCGAGGACGCCATCGAACGGGTGTTGGAATTTCGCCGGGAAGAGGAGGAAGAATCTGAGGACAGTGACGACCTCCTAGAGCAGGCTGAGGAGTACAAAGTGGGTTTTCTATTCATCTACTTCACATGACGTTTCCTTCTTTGATTTTCTTCTAACACCACCTTTTCACAGCCGGAAGATCGATTTCTTCTCAACAGACAAATGACGAAGCACTGGAATGTTGCTCCGGCGGTGCCCACTGCCCAGGGGTCAGACGGCAAAAGCACCAAGAAACGCCGCATCTCACCCGAGCCCGAAGCCGCCAATGGCAACGGCAATAGCAACGGTGCCGGCACCGGCAATGTTAGCGACGCCTCCGCCATCGTCTCCAAGTCGTCCAAGTCCAAGACGGGCGACGCGACAGAGACCGCCCAGGCGGTCGTCACGAAGAAGGCGCTCAAGGCAGCCAAGTACGGCCCCGAGCAGATCCCTCCCGGCTCGGTCGTCCTCGGCGGCGTCCGCGGCATCATCGAGGAGCTGCAGCGGTACGTCTTTGCGCGCGCGCGGAAGCCCGAGGACTTCGCCTGTTTCGGAGAGCAGCCTATGGGAATTCTCATCTCAGGCCCACCGGGAACGGGCAAGCAGTCTCTTGTGCGATCTCTTTCGTGGAGGACGAGGACGCCTGTCATTTCTATTGGGCGGTACCTGAGCGAGACGCGGTCGCCCGAGAAAGTGAGCAAGATCTTCACCGATGTGCTAGACGAGGCCAAGAAGATTGCGCCGTGCGTCGTTCTCTTTGACCACCTGGACGAATACATGACCAAGTCGGGCAACAGCCACAGCGAGTTCGACCACGAGGTCATTTCACAGCTCAAGCTCGGTCTCCGACGTCTGCGAGAATGGGAGCGAGAGGGGCTCCGGGTGGTTATCGTGGGCACAACGAGCAAGCTCGAGCTCGTCGACCCGACGCTGCGGAGACCAGACTACTTTGCGCAGACCATTACGGTCAAGGTGCCCAACACGGACGCCCGAGAGGAGATCTTCAAGGCTCTGACAAGAGAGCTCGACATTCCCTCCGAAGTCGACTTCCAGGCCCTCGCGGTCCGCACGCACGGCTTCGTCGGCGACGATATCCGTGCCGTGATCCAGGTTGCTAACCGCAAGGCTAGCGATCGCTTCATGGATGTGGAAGAGGCGCGCGCCAGAAATACCATCCAGGCCGAGAGAATGGATACCGAGATCTCGGACAATAACGCCGCCCGCGACCTTGACGACGCCTGCCTGTGGTACGACTATATCGAGCACCCATCCTACACGACCCCTACGCGCGTCCACGTAAGCCAGCGCGACTTTGTCGACGCCATCGCCGAGCACACCCCCTACATGCGCCGCGAAGGCTTCAGCTCCATCCCCAGCACCTCCTGGTCCGAAGTCGGCGCCCTACACTCCGTCCGCGCCGCCTTCCAAGTCTCCATCGTCCGGCGCATCAAGGAACCCTTGCTATTCCAGAAATTCGGCAAGCAGCGGCCCGCGGGCGTGCTCCTCTTCGGTCCACCAGGCTGCGGCAAAACCCTCGTCGCAAAGGCCGTCGCCAACGACGCGCAGGCGAGCTTCATTCTCATTAAGGGCCCCGAGCTGCTCAACAAGTACGTGGGCGAGTCGGAGCGCGCGATCCGCGAGCTGTTTACGAGAGCGAAGTCCTGCGCGCCGTGTATCCTCTTCTTTGACGAGATGGACTCGCTCGTGCCCAAGAGGGAGAATACCACCACCGAGGCCGGCGCTCGCGTCGTCAACGCGCTGCTTGCGGAGCTCGATGGCGCCGGGGACAGAGGCGAGGTCTACGTTATTGGTACGAGTAACCGGCCTGACATGATTGACCCGGCCATTCTGCGCCCCGGACGTCTTGATAAGCTGCTGTTTGTGGATTTGCCTACCGAGGACGAGCGCGTCGATATCTTGGGGACGATTGTGCGCAACGGTATTGGCGGGGGTGTACAAGCTCAAGGCCAGGGTGACGACGGTGAGGACGTCGTGGACGTTGAGGCGATTGCGCGGGATAAGCGGTGTGCTGGGTTCAGCGGTGCGGATCTGTACGGGTTGTATAAGAATGCGCTGGACGAGTGTGTGTTGAGATACGAGGGCGGAGAGCCGGCGTTGATCAGGAGTGATTGGGAGGCTGCGCTGAGCAAGACGAAGCCGAGTGTGCCGAACCCGGAGACGTATAGGAGGTTGGCGAACAAGTTGCATCATCAGACATAAGGGTGGGAGTGGGTTAGACGTGGACTGGTAGAGAAAAGTTGAGTCTGTCCTTTTATTGCTGCCTTTGTTATTGGGAGGGTCTGGTGTCTTTAGAGCAATTGGGCTTATATCATGGATTCACATCCACATGGTTAGGTACCTTAGGTACTGAAGAAAGCCGAGTAAAAGCAACGACTGTATTCTTTGAACATTTATCTGAAGGACTTGTCCAAGTCGTAGGTGTAGTTCTCCATGTGGACGAACGAGCGAATCGCCAAGTTTTTCCCTACTTTGCTTGTCTTCGCCTCATAGATGTTGTTAAAGCATTTCACCACAACTCTAGTGAATAAGGAGGTCGGATTAGCTTCACTCCGCTACATGAGAACTCGTGTCATAGAAACCAACGAGGAAGTCAGGCATTACACAAGGCCCTGGGTCGGGGAAGCAAGGGTCCATCACTGTGACGCGTTGGAGGCATTAGCGCTGGATCCAGAAATCGCCTCGTCCGCGCTTCTGCAACCCAAGAAAACAAGTACGTCAAACCAAGTTTAGAGCAGAAGGTTCATTCTAAATCAATAATTCGGTTACAAAAAAAAATGAGAAAGAAGAAAAGAAAGAGTGCCAACAAAAATTGAGCTGTCTGTGGCATTATAGAGGACCACCAGCTTTTTGTGAGCACAACAGTACTCGAACTCACAACCCTTGCGGGATCCATTACGCATTTACAAGTCCACTACTAGGTCATGTGCACTTCAGAAGATGCTCATGCCTTTTCTCGAAGTCTTCTCGTCTATGGACCTTTGGGAGTGGCGGGGGAAGGCGTGGTGGTGGTGCGTGGTGCGTGGTGCCTGCTTATTCTGTCTACTCAGGCTGCCAGGTTGGCACTTACCCTCTGAACACGACTAAACATCTCAAGACTGAGAGTGAATCGAGACAAACCAGTGGCTCTGTAGTTTCTCAAAGTTCTATTTGAAGTGAGTTAAGTTCCTCTATCGATTGACTCTGTGCAGTAATTGAGGCCTTGGTCGGTATAATTTCACACACTTTTCAGGAGGATGAACCTTCAGGGCACGATTGCATCATTGAATAGGATATGCATTCTCAAGGTCTAAGGATATCAGTCAAGGGTGAATCGTCCAATCCTATGCAGCTGGTTTAGAACGCCAGTAGAGATGGAACAACGATGTTCTGCTCCCTTGTTGACCGTGGAGCTTCACCGAGATCCTGTAGAGGGATAGCAAAATAAAGACGATGTCGACAATGGTTTCAATCGCACGGTACATGGGTTTTGGTAAGTCAAATGTGCTGTGGACTCGGCCGTCTACGTTCAAACCCTTGCGTTGAACCCATTTTCCCTCCCAACCCGACGTTGTCAACGACAGGATATAAGAAGGCAGACGAATGCAAGAGAGACATCACCACGCCTAAAGTATAGAGGTTCTCTTGGGAACACACCAAAAGATTAAATATTTGAGGTACGTGAAAGTGAATTGCCGTCATCTGTTAGCCTGTTCTCCTTGTGCGTTTACCAGGTCGCCCTCGGACCTTGCCATTCGGTTCGAAAGCTCTAAAATCAGGAGCTGAGCGCACGTTCACTGGCAGTTGTACTTGGAACGATTTTATATGTCTAGGCCGTATACCTCTTCTCAGACTTCCATCCTGAAAGGTTCGACTGAACAACCAGACGATGTTTCAACTTTCAAGTCGGAGAAAGTCTTCATAGAGACCACGACGATCGTGTGATTGGACCAGGACTCATTGACCACTGAGAGTGGAGAAGTGACAGTCGTTCACATGAGTCGGGGGCATGCAGAAGATTATACTTTCTTCCTGATGCTTGCAGAGTGAACCGACCGACTGCTTGAGCCGCACCGTCACTAAGGACACCTTCGAAAGACGGCTACTTTTGAATGATTGACCGACCTTTTCCCGTTACAATTCGTAACACGTTCCTGACATTCATGATTCGGTACAGAACGGGTCCTATGACGACTCGACGAGGTGCCAGGATGATAAAGCCAGGCGAGTCATCTTACTGGCTAAAGGGGACAGAGTGGCCGCACTACTGTATTACCTGAGTAAGCAGGTTTTTTTTCCCGGCCACGTCCGGCGTCACAAGGCATGCCAGGGCTGACATCATGGACACGGTAATGATTTGCAGGCACGGATGCTACAGAAAGAATGCATGGCACGTTCAGGTCTCTAGAAACGTTTGTTTCGCAAAATGAAATTTGTTGTATTACAACGTCTTGAAAGGGGAGAATTTTCGAGAGAGAAAAAATGGGCTTGTTTAGTGAAGCCCCCAAAACACACTGTTCTAAAGTGGTCTATTGGTACAAATCGCAAATCGCCAGTTCGTCTAATGCAATCCTATCGTTACACATCAATCCGTCTATTTGGTGGAGTCCTTGAGGTAGCTATTGTCATGGTTAGCGAGTGAGTCTCAAGTGGAATGCTGAGGGTGACAGTGAAAACGTACGCAATGAGGTCGTTGCGGTCCTTCTCCTTCTTGAGACCACCGAACGCCATCTTGGTGCCGGGAATGTACTTCTTGGGGTTCTCGAGGTACTCGAACTGTAGGAAGAATCGTCAGCATATCAGGCTCGAGGGTCTTCAGTGAAACTGAATGATCGGGAGAGCTTACGAGAGTCTGGTCGTTCCACTCGATGCCCTTCTTCTTGTTGGCGTCGGTGTAGGAGTAGCCCTCGACGGAACCGGTCTTGCGGCCCCAAAGGCCGTGAAGAGCAGGGCCGATCTTGTTGCCGCCGTCGGCGTCGACGGTGTGGCACTGAGCGCAACGGGTCTTGAAAAGGGTAGCACCCTTCTTGGCGTCACCTAAAATTCCTCAAGGTCAGTTTACTGGTCTAGGGAGGCGATGTGTATTCCGCGATGGTTTCGTTGTTTGCTTGTGTTAAGAACCCCGATGAAATCCCGACCGCCATGGTCGTGAGCGTGTTCACTGCTTCGCCGCCCCTGCCGACGCCTCCTTGTCTCTCGCTCATCCGAGCCCCCGTTTTTTGCCCCATCAAGCGAAATGCCAGGAAATTGGCGCAAGATGTCGGAGATGCTCAGATAAACGAGTCGCACAGGACGAGGGTGTCGCAAGAGGTGAAATCGAAGCCGAATTGACCCGCGAAGCAGTTCCGAACCGTTCCAGGCCCAGCGAAGGCGATTTCGCTGCTCAATGGCTCGTGGTGGATTGAAGCGCTCGGGGGTTGGACAGTCATCGGGGATCCGCAAAGCAAAGCGAAAACGGATGGAGTTGCGCGCGTGAAGTGAGAGGACTTACCACCAGCCATTTTGACGGATTATAGGATAATTAAAAGGATTTGAAAAGGGGTATCAGGTAGAAAGTGCAAAAGAAGAATGTCTTTTGCAGGTCGTCAGGTAAGGTCGTGTGGGTTGTAGTAGGTTGAGAGTGAGGAGTGGAGGAAGAAGGGGGAAAGAAAAACTTTTAGAATCGGATCGGGCCAAGTTAAAAAAAAAAAGACGAGACGACAGTACGGCAAAAAAAAAGACTATCCGATTTTAATTATGACAACAACCCGGCGGAAAGGCACCTGGCGACGTACCCAGCACCCGCCGCAACGAGAAAAAAAGCCTGGAATGAGCTCACTGACCTGGGTGCCGCGGCGCACAAGCCACACGGTGTGGCGACGCGACCACCAATCAGATGTGCAGCATTGGTCAGAGGGTGATGTGTCCGGGGGTCGCTACCCGGGCAAAACCGGATACTGGTCCCGGAAGAACGCTTTCTCCGCTGCGCCTCGGTGTTTTGCTGACGGGACCAGCTCGCTTTTGGGGCAAGAGTGCCAGGTCAACGACTCAACCAACGGGGCGGCGCGGCGGGCCAGCGGGGACCTTTGCTGGTGTCCCTGCCACTAGCATTTTTTTTCCTGTCTATTATCTCTCACTTCGATCCTCTTGTCACCAACTTCCCGTTTGCCGAGCCTCGACTGGGATTCCCAAATCTGCCCATCCATATCCGTGCTTTCTGGCCTCTTCCACCTCGGCGTCTGTTTGTTCCAGATCCCGAACTGTCAATCTTGCAGCCAATAGATGGAGTGTTATTGCTGATGCTGCTTAGTAGGTACGGAGACAGACAGAATAGGGTCATCGCGATCGTCAATTGAAGTGAGCAGGGGTTGTTTTTCGTATGGGTCAGGTACGTACCCGTACCTGCGCCCGGATGCGCGACGGGGGTAGTTCGGCGACCCTTTAGCTTTCAACCTCTCATCATACATAGCTCCACTGTAACTTCTTTGGGCAGAGAAATTCTTCTGGAGCTTCCATTTTTCCAGCCCCGACCGATCCTGCCGGCGCGCACCTGATGATCCCGTTGATCCATACCAGAGCCTCAATGACGCCGTGAAACAGACGCCTGACCCCCGAAAGTCTAAAACATCGCCGTTCAGGTGACCTACTTTGTTCCTTGACCGCCATCTTTTGCAACTTCGGCAAACATCGGGCGAGGCACTCTCTTAGGGTCGGTCCTGCATCCTTTCACCGCCCGCTGCTATTATAGTGGCGAACCAACGACATCAATGACGACCTCGGCCACGACCCTCCTCCCCAGGTTCCTCCTCCCGGCCTTGAGCCCCATGTGGCGCGCAGCAGCGACCTCGACCGGCCGGCCTGCCGCAACGGCAGCTTCGGCGGCGCTCCGCCGCAACGCGGTGTGGACGATTCGGTACGCCTCGTCCAAGCCGACAAAGGCGGGCCAGAAGGGTCCCCTCATCCTCGAGAAGCCGGCCAAGTTCAACCCGCCCTCCCACGGCGCCCGGTTGCCCAAGAACAACGGCCCGAAGCACTATGGCGGTCCGCTCAGCGGCCAGGAAGTGCGCGCTCAGCGCACGCGGGAGTATCCTGGCATGATGGCTCCCGAGGGGACGTGGGCGCATTGGTTCTTCAACAGCCGCAAAGTCCACCTCTTCATCTCCTTGGTTAGTAGAAACCTGGTGTTCCTCCATCGACAGAAACGCACACATCCGGGCCATAGCTTGTTGGACGATGGGTAGCTAACATCATGTCTTTTAGGGAACACTGACGACACTGGCCATCTCAACGCTGGTCCTCAACTTTTCCCAGACATCCCCGTTCAAGCACCTCCTACCCCCCGCGTCCGAGTTCTGGAGCAGCCCTATTCAGTTCATTCGGACATGGGTCCACGTAATGCAGCTTCACGAGCGCGACCGCAACGAAAAGGCCATTGCCATGCACTCGCGCCACACCGACGACGTTGCGAAGCGCCAGTACTACCGCAAGGTCCACGGACTTGACAAGGAGAACCCCATTGCCAACTTCTTGGGCATGAAGGAAGAGTCGGAGGAGGACAAGGCTGCGGCCTCCACGGCGATGGAGGCTTCACCCGTGGCTGACGTCGAGGCCAATGCATTTGCAGAGAACGAGCAGAAGAAGAAGTGGTTTGGCCTCTTTTAATAAAGTGAGAGGGAGGACCCATCCATGTGTAAGATGTAACGGGGGGTGAGCACGCTATTTTTGTAATATACCCTCCACCGAACCATGTACAACATGACATTCCAAACCAGAACCACCAATTGGTATCATGACTTTTGTCTTTCCATTGCCCATCTTGACATGTCGCAAACGTTAAAATCCCCCTCAAATACAAGTCCCGGAATCATTCCCCCTTTAGGCCAGCTCCACCGCGGCAATCGCCTCCAGCACCTCGTCCGCGACGCCTCCCTTCTCCAGGACCTTGGAGATCATCCCCTCAATCACGTGCACCTTAGTACCTCCTATAGGTGGCTTCCAAACCCCCTCCGCCGCCTGCCCCTGCGCAGCCGCTGGCGCCGTCGGTGCCTTTGACGGCGTACCAGCAGCAAGACCGGTGGCCGGATTCACAGAGTTGGGCACGCCGGGCGCCGTCAATCGCGAAGGCGGGTCGACCGTGCGCACGGAGAGCAGCTTCAGCTGGCGACCGTCCACATCCATACCACCAGCGGAGGCGGCCGTCTTCTCCTCGGCGACCGAGACCGCCAGCGCCGACTCTGCGACGGCGAGCTCCTCGCGCGCTGGGTCGAAGATGACGTTGCCGCCAACGGCGATGACGAGAAGTGTTATGGGTGGGCGCGAGCCGCCCGTAGCGGGCGCGCTGCCGTCGCGCGGGTAAAGGAATGTCGAGGCCTCCCAGTCGTCGTCGAACATAGGGTCTTCGTCGCCCTCTGACTTGAGGCGCGGGAGGCGGGTCGCGAGGAGTGCGAGGTGGGTTGTGAGTGAGAGGAGGGGAAGCGGGTAGGATAGAGGCGGGGAGATGAGGAGGATCTGTTTGGGGAGAGGTGTGTTAGCTTCCTGTCTTTCAAAACAAGGGACGGGAATGTGTATGTAGGAGAAGAGAGGTGGTGGGGAGGAAGACAAACATCTAGGTAGAGCTTCCAGTGGAACCGGCTGTTAATCCGCAGCTTCTTGGTAAATTCCCCGTCGGCGAGCAGCGCTTCGCTGAGCATGTTGGCGAGGAACACGGTCGCGGCGTCGTCCTCCCTGGAGGCCGGTATCTCAACCGTTATCTCGAGCCAGTCATTGTTGCCCTTGACCTCCTCCTTCTTGCCCGCGTCTTTCCTCGGCTCCGGAGCCTCCTCGCTGTCTACGTCTGCACCAAACGGGCTGCTCGTCTTCTCGATCTCTGCCTTGACGCCTACGATGGCCTCCGTGCCGTCGGAGAAGCAGATGCGCGCGCTGCCGTTGGTGCCGGGGAGGATGCCCGTCTCTGCGGTCAGGGGGCGGAACTGATTTGCTTTGCGGCCGTCTGGGCGGATGGGTGGCGTGAGGGAGAGGGTTGAGTGGAGGTAGGCGAGCTCTGCCGGGGAGAGCAGAACCTGCTGTGCAGACGCCATGGCTTCTCTGGGTATGGGTATGCTCTTTTTTCTGATCGCAGGCTAGGTATAGTACTCGCGGAGTTTCGTGTAGCTTATGGCCGAGCTTGTAACAGTTCAGTTTCTCGTCAATCGGTCGTGGTTCGGGGGGCAGCTCGAAATTTCGGGCGGGATGTGATCGCAAAAAGTTGGTAGGATTTTGGACTTTCTCCCGAGCAAAGTCAAAGGAAGCAGGGGTTTTTTGATGGTGGGGTCCGCGGGGTGTGGGGCCGGCCGGCGCGAGCTGTCCGGATCGGTAGTTGTGGCGTGAGCTGTGGCTTGAACGGACGTCTACGACCAACAACTTCACACGGGTTTAGCTTCATAAGCCCAAGTTCTAATCTTTGATATGTTCGAGGCTAAAAAGAAAACCTCTATTTTATATTTACAGGAAATGACTGAGACAGGCCGCTCTTAAACACCGTTCAAGTTGAGCAATTAGAGATGGGAGACGCTGCCACGAAGGGGGAGACTTCAACACAAGGCTTGGAGTTCTCATTCTTCAGCTTCACAAATTATTTCCAGATTTCAGACAGGTTTACTACAAAGATCTAACTCATTGCTATTCTCGCGCAGTGCTACTTGATCTAATATTCATATTTGGTCATTGCCTTACCTAGTTAACAAGATCCAGACGGGGTTTCCCGTCACAGAAACATTTGATCGATCGTACCAGAGACGGGCTTACGCGATGCCGATTAATATTTGAACACTATCTGATAACCTGATGCAGACAAAAATTGATTTCCTAATTGTACATATCTCTTTGGGCTTCCATTAGAGAAGCCCAATTCTTCAGAGTATCAGAACCGGAAGTGATAGTGAGTGTTTAGTGGAAGTCAATGTTCGATCACCGCTGAGTCTTTATCTTGTGTTGTGAACAACAGTAGAATCTCATCAAAAACAGTCTTCTCTGGCATTAAATCTGGGCCCGTATCAGGCTGTTCCGAGCGGTATTTGGGACTATCAATGACTTCAGATGTAGCCATGAGCAAGACATAACAATGTGAAGAGATCAGACAGAACAAACGACACAGAACCTCGAAAACACAGTGATTGCCAGAAAAACTGAAGCAAATCATCATGCGAACCAGAATTAGCGAGGCAACAAGGTCCTGCCCTGTATCTATGCCGAGGCTGTGCTTATCATGGCATTTGATCTACGCGTAAGGCTTCACGGACAGTTGGCGGTCTTGTTTAGAACTAAGCTTGAGAAGCGACAGTGACTGAAAAATCCGAACCGCCAAGTGAGAAATAAGCTACTTCAGAGTGAATTAGTAAGAGTACGAGTGAGTTTACAAACTGTCAAGAGTGGTTTGGGGATCCATCTCCGCGGAATACCGTGGATTTCCCATCCTATGATTGCCGATCTGAATACGTTTCCCCCCGGATTCAGCTAACGAATTTTGAAAAAACGCCGACGGTCTACAGACAACAGTGTGATTTGTACCAGGATCCATGATACTTAAGAGATCGAAGGCAAAGCAAATCCACGAGTACTAACGGTCATGAAGGTTCAAGCGAGTTCACAGGGATGCCTTACTGGGTATTGACTCAAATTCAAATACAGAGAAGCACCTGCTTGGCATTCATCTAGGGCGCTGTTGCTCGAATCTTCATACCACCATACACAAAAACTGCATCACACCGCGATGCTGTCTATGTTTGTCAAAGACCTACTCGTGAGGCTGTTAGCATGTTTACCCAGGAAGGAACATAGAGAAGCCAATTAGAAGATTCCCTGCCAACCACATCCGCAGTGTCGACGATAGCATCTGTACTGCCAAAAACGCTCGACTTTCCCAGTTGTAGCGGCAGAATGATTCAATTGACTCCGAATGGCTGACCATACAGCCTAGACAGTCTAAAGGCAGTTCAGATGCGTGTACCCTGGGCGTGTAGGGCGAGGGCGAAGCAGCCATTTGCTCGAGCAACGTGACCAAACCTCACGGGGGTCCTCTTGAATGTATTCAAAGCGAATCTATTGATATTAACGCAGCTACGGTAGAAAGAAGGAGGGAGGAAAGGGAGCGGTAGTAACAAGCAGCAACAGGAGTAGAGGTTGAGGCTAGTAGGACACCTCAAGCCGCAAGAGCCCCGAATTCTGCCTCGAGATTGGGTTTTGTTCCCTTAGGTAGAGGGGTATTTATCCAGTCTCTTTAATATTGTGGCCCTCGATTTGCCCTTTGCTTACAAGCATCCTTTCTCGTTTCTTGGTTGAATCGGGGGAAGGTATAAATAGAGATCAGGGAGTGGAAAGAAGACTGTTCAGGAGATTCAAGAGAAGCTTCTTCCGCGTCAGAACGGCTCGAAAGATATTTTGAGCTGAGGGACTAGCTGCTGTGAATATGGAAGAGAACATGCCCTGAGCTTGATTCAGAGATGGTGGGGTATACTTTGGGCAGAAAGGAGAGTTACATTTGTCCGGGAGAGTAGAGGCCTGCTTTTAGTTGGGAAACTAAGCGGTCTGACGGAAAATATGTGTGCTAGAGAATAGAGTGCGAATGGATATGTGACACGACCGGTTTGGAGACTGATGATTGAGCCTGGTAGAGTAAAACAGGTTCGCCATAGTCTTCCTCATATCGATGAAGTCTCTATAGACTGTCAACATCCTGGCCGTCAGGTGACATGCTTGACAGTATAGCCTTATAGTTGCTGATGGTCTTCTCACTAAAAGATGAGTTCATAGGTTCAGATGTCTCTCCCCTTTGATGAGCTGAGGGCTTGGTTTGAACGGAAAAATCTGGCCTCCTAGAACTGGCTAAGCTAGCGGAAGCTGGCGTCTCCTGAAGTGTGCCTAGTTCAGCTAAGCAGATAGAATATACGATTGGTGTAGTAATGGGTAAGTAGTGATGTAAGATACGATACAGACGCACGTAGCTCTCGGAATGCGTCAACTTGCCGTTTACCACAGACGAACATGGGACAACCGACGCAAATCCACAAATATCGAGAACATTACCATCCAGCCAACTCCGAAAGACACCTGCGGCTTGACGTTGGTCGTCCAAGAGCCTCCTAAGCCCCGCATACACTTGCTTCACCGGGCTCGAAAGCACATTACGGCCCCGGCAATCAGTCTTGTCACAGTCGAGCCAACCATAAGTCTACGGCAGCCACCCGGTCCCCGGAGCCCGTCCAAGCCCCGTCGATCGGACAACCTCTCGTCTCTGGCCCCTACAATAACAGAACTTCACTTGGTGGTGTAGGGCACCTTCGGACGTATCGTATTCGCTTGGCACGGACTCCTCCGTACCTCGCATCCTTCTCGGCTTCGCACCGCTCGACCCCGATCCGCCTACACACATACTTTACGAAGCCCCGCCAGCACACCCGCAGCTCCCGAAACTGCGCCGCCCCGGGAGCACCGTGCCCCCCCTTCCTCTGTGTGGGACCTCCTCAGTGCAGTGCGCCGACCGAACCTTCCGGCCAACAAGCTCCGTTGCGAAGGACAACGGACAACGGAGGATATGATCCGTTGGCGCTGGAAGGAAGCTCAAGCTTTTGCTGTGCTTCTGAAACGAGCCCTATGCTCGTAAAAGGACAGAGAAAAGTCTAGAGAGAGATGCGATGATCGGAGTTTCTCGAAACCTCGTTTAGCTCCTCGCGGACTCGTGTTGAGCACGCATGTCCGAGGGAAACAACGGATTGTCTAAACCTTTTTCTCACTCTACCCGAAAGTCTAACCTTGCATGCTGTGATTCTTACATAACAGCCTCATCAAACCTTTGCCACTGAGAGGGAAAAAGCTTGTACTGAAAATAGCCCGTCGAGAAAGTATCGTCAAACCAGACCAGGAACTCGAACCCCCATCGAGAGAGAGTTTTGACCCCTTCGATGGACTTCCAGACAGTGATTACTCCGGGGAAGTAAGAGAACGGAAATGCTGACTACATCCGGCTCCCTCTTACAAAGCAAAGGATCACAATGCCAGATTCCCATCGCCACTTACCACCATTATCGCGATTAAAGGGGGCAGAAAAAAACCTTGAATGTTCCATCGTCGTCCAAATTCAAGGGTCCATGCCGCGCCGCGGCACCGAATCGATGGCGTTGCTTTTGCGAGCACGACACGATAAACTTTTACGGCCCTGCCCGCAACACCTCTCCCCCTTGGGCATTGTAGAACGGACACAAGCTCCTCCTTTTGGTCTGAAGCAACCCGAGTTAGCTCCTATCGTAGTGCGGTAGCATTGGGGGCCGTTGAAAAAAAAAATTGAAGAAATCGAGCAAATGACATTCTACAGTTAATATGTCGATAGTAGATAGGAATTGCCGTGGTGTTGCATTGCATGTCTTCCACCCCCCTCAGTCCCACAGTTCCATCCCGCGCCGCTCATATCCGGTTTTGCCGCCCACATCACGACAAAAACCTGTTCGGTGGTAACATTTCTTCGGCCCTCGATGATCTGCAACCTACGTTTTGGCAGCACTCCTCGATTCCCACTGTTTTACCGCCCGCCGTCCCATCCCATCCTTCTCCTCCCCCAGACGGACAGCGCCGCGAGGCGTTACGGAGTTACAGGCTAAGAGAGCGAGATGCGATGCCCCGGCCGGTCCGCCGATCATGGCCAACAGAGTTAGGTTGTGTACCTAGAAAATTTGCACACCCTCGGGGCTCCGCAAAACAGACTTCCCAGCTTATCCCGCTGGCGTTCTGCGCTGGCCCGGCGCCGTCGCCGAGGACGGAAACGATGGGCGGACGATTCTTCAACCCAATGCCGCGGGGTGCGCCGGATCGTCCCCAAGGTTCCCCAACAGAGAGATACAGACACACAGACGACAAACAGAGACAAAGAAATCAACGGCCGCTGAAGGATTTCTTGGGGTATGGAAAGGATTGCAAAGATGCTAGCCGTATCCTTTTTCGAGATAAGGTTGATAGAGTAGCCAAATTCGCCATCTGCCATCCCGCTATAGTATTGGAGCCGTCTGATACTAGTGAGACCCCAGCCTAGGCGATTTACGAATCCTCCTTTCAGCCCTTCAGGCGAAGGCGACGGCGATGGATAAACAGTCCGTCACCGTGGAGGCAATATATAGGCGGGCCTGGACATTTCGCAATGCGGCGCCTGTCTTGCGCGCGCTTGCGTGCTGTACCACCCCCGATCCCCCATCGATCGAGGCCGACCTTTCCCTATTGCTTAATTGCGTTCCCCGAGTCAGTTCGACGACGAGGGGTGTGTTATTGCTGAATGAGGCCTGAATAAGGCCCTGTCCGCCCACCCCTTGATAGTACAGTAGATCGTCGGACTGCGCCTTGCTAGATCGAAAGGGATGGACCCCCTCAGATCGAAGAATCGACGATGTCGAGAAGAAAATCTCGAAAAAAAACCACCTCGAAAATCTAGGGCTGTTGTTAGGCAGTGGCTGTCAAGGGTCTCAGTTTTTTTCCACTTCCCTACCTCTGCATGTGGTCTGGCACGCCTGGCGTGACGATCGATCCATCAAGTTTTCCAAACCAACGCTACCAAAAAGCCTTGGGCAGCAGCGCCGCCGCTGATGGGAGGCTTTTACGTTCCTTTGACGTGTCTAACAACCAACAAGACCGGGTTCGAATCCAGGGATGCGGGACAAGGCAATGGACGACGCCGATCTAAACCTCTCAGCCAACAGTCATAGTGTGCACCGGGTTTGCATCCCTCTGGGACCTCATCGGGCCTCTGAAGAAAAAAAAAAACAGTCGGCGCCGGCTCCCGTGGTGGCCGTACTAAAGTGAAAATCTGCACCGGTCATTCGGGCAGCTAGGCCTTGTTTTTCTTGACACTAGACGACTCCATCGTGTAAATCGGGTTTGTTTTTTGAGGCCTGGCTTTAGGTAGAGGGCCCCGAAAATCCTGGGGAGAGCTAACGTAGGCTCGGCTCAGCTTGAGCTACCGGGTTTTGCTAGCGATTGCTTCAGTACGTAAGAACATGGCAAACGTGAGTGAGAGTGAGAGAGAAAGGCTCCATCGTCCAACAAGTTTCTTGTTTAGTGGACGGTCCAAGGATGAATCCTCCATGACGGGAGCACTAAAAAGGCTGTGAATCTGTGATCCATAAGGTACGTACTGCGTATAAAGCCGACATGCACAACTTTGCACAAAGTGGGCGTCCTTCTATCGATGCCGTCTGAGCTGGGGTTGTCCTTGCTCGGTTTTGTGCAAGAAAATGGGTCATCGACGCCTTGGGACTGTGGACTCACACCCTCTCCCCTACGTCCACTCCACGGAGTCCGGAGCGGGCTGGCGGCGTCCGAGAAGGAAGAGGAAGAGAGAGGTTGGGGGGAGCTCCTCTGGCATTGTGGAGCCCGGTGCTGGCCGGCTCTCCCCGGCCTGTGACGGCGATCCAAGCAGGACCTAAAGACAACGCATCGTCCACATCTCCACTCAACAGGTACCTTACTATCCGGATAGGCTTTGCTTCTCGCAGCTCTCGCTCGGCAGAGAGGCCGTGAGGTCCGTCTGGTCCGGGTTAGGTCCCCCTTCCGTCCAGTCAGGCAAAAAAAAAAAGTGTGGAATTATGGAGAATTCGGGAGAGTCACGGGTTTCTAAACTTCTGAGGGAGATTGATTGGGGAGGGATGGGGCCATCTGGCCGTCACAGAGCAAACAAAAATCCACACAGCACGAGCATATTCGTACTGCCAAGCTTGTTTCTGCTGTACATATGCTAGCCAGATAGTCTTGGAAACCTCAGGCTGCTGCTGCTGCTACCACCTTTCCCCAGTTTGAGCTCCAGCCCGGTGAAGCATCCAGACTCTTCATCGACCGCCGGGCTTGGATTAGGTAAGTCTGCCTCCGTCGTTTCAAGGCGTCCCGGCGGGGATGTTGGATGCTACCGTGGCACGCGTGTGGTTGTCCGCGTCGCCGCGATAGTGCGCTCTTTTTTGATGGGAGAAAGGTCCAGACTCTCGAGTTTCCACAGAAGAAGGTATTCCTGTGACGGGCGATCCGCAGGGCAAATCCAGGAACCGGTGACGCAGCACAAGATGCGCATAGAGAGCATCGCACAGCATCGTGACTGTACATACGGGAACTGAGAGTTCCACCTCAGCTCCGTCTGGTTCGCAGGCGTATGTAGTTATGGAGCCCAGTGACTCTTGAACTCTTGAGAAGCGAGAAGATGCTGTGGATGATTATGGCATGACTGGAGCAAGAGGGTCCTTCGTACCTTGGGTGCTTTACTACAGTTACACTACGTTCCCCCCGTCATACCTGACTGAAGGGGAACCACCTCTGCTCCCAACCCCATCCAGGTACATACACATCACAGGGTCTGAGGATGCGCACTACGGAGGAATAGTGAATAGGTAAACGCCAGTCAGTGCATCAAGACTCAAGGGGACCAGTCTTTTGGTGGAAACGATGACAAGAGAAACGTGTACTCCGCAATAGCTAGCAATGTTTCGGTGCGCTTTGGGGCCCAGACCGGAACATAGGGCACAACTTGTCACCGCAAGCGTGTGAAAGATATTGCAATAGAGTCCCCACTATTGCGTGGTATCGCAACATTGACCCATCGTCGCACGCAATGCAGGAACTTTGCTGGGCCGCCCGCTTGAAGCCGACTTGATGCTATCAACGGTGAGGGTCGGAACAATGAAACATCTAGGTTTCGGCGATGGGTACTCTACAACGAATGCGTTGCGTATACGAGTTGTCTGACTGTCGCGGTTTAAACAAAACAAAAACGGAACCTCGGTGACTTGGAGGCCGCAGAACTATCCAGCCAGCGATACAACATGTACAGGCTCTCACAGTAACACAGACAGATCAGAAAGTCTCCACTAGTTGCATTTTGGTTGGTTTCTGCTTTCCATTTCGAAACTTTGTTTTATTCCTTCTTTTTCTCTACTGGAATGGAGTGGAATGGTGGGGGGGGGGGGGGTTTGAATGTTGCGCCATGTTTCGCTTTGAACAAGTTGAACAAGTTTCTCTCTTGCATAACGCTGTATATTGCTTATTGCTGCTGTTTAGTTTGCTTTAAAGCATAAACGACTCTTTGCGGGCGGTTAGGCGAGACCGGCAGAGCTAAGACCTGGCCATCTTTTCCTTGCCTTGTATCCCGTAACCCACTACTTTGTACGCAAAGAAAAGCAAGAGGGTTACACAGCCTCAATCGAAGATGGACGACGTATCCCTGACTTTTGACGGGAGAATGACGGGCAAAACAGAGTTGCATAGTGTAGCATAGGTACTTAGGTAATCGGCGACCCATAGGTAGGCCCTTGAGACAAAGCCGACGATGAGTCAACTTCAAACCAGGACGTCACCGAAGCTGCCAAGGCAGAAAGAGAGGGCTACCAGATACAAGGTACCTTGGTCCTTGCAAGTTGCCTATACCGTAGAAACTCGAGCAACTCGAACTTGCGCTAGCCCGTGCCAGCCCTGCTAGCGGCCCACACTAAGCCCTTTCGAGGGATCAGTTTTATCCGATTATATAATCGACTAAACCGTATACGGAAGGCAGTAAGTGATTATTTTCTATTTTTTACTCCTACCTAACTACCTACTTCTACCGATTATATTACCGATTTAACTACTAATTATACTATTAATTATACCTTTAATTACACCTCCACCACGGGCCTCGTCGATATACCCACGATATCCTCACGACGGGCCCTTACTGAGAAGGATTTGAATATAGTAAAAGTACTAATTATACCTTTAATAGTTAAGTACTGCGGGCCTACTCCTACCCTTATTAAAAACCGGAAATATATACTATAAAGTAGCCTAATTAAGTACCGTTAGTACTACTATACCTATAATATTAAAATCAACGTCTTAATATTTTTAGAGTATTACTGTATAAAAAAGCTTGATAAAGAATCGATTTACTCCTTAAAGTTATGCTAGGGTAAGACCGAGCTCCTAGGGATATATAGATATCCTATATATTAAGAAGCTATAGATTAATTTAAAATCCCTTAAAATACGGTTATTTTTTAATATTAAAACTGTAAGTTAATTGTTAATCGGTCCTTTAATTATACTTACTACCTTTAATAACTAGAGCTTAAGATAGTGCTATACGGTGCTTTCCGCTAATAATAAAATAAAGGAAAGCTCGTTAGTATTAATTAATTTAAAAGGACCGCTAAACGGATTTTCGCTTAGTAGAACCTAAATAATAAATATTTTTTTATTTTTTCTCCTAGTTAGTTTCGTAGCTTCTAGAATTGTATAAGAATTATTTAATATCGACTTACTAAATAAGTAATAAAGTTACCTATTAAGTACTTTAAAGTTATTAATAGCTTTTTTTCTTTTATTTAATAAATTAATTAAATAGCCCTAGCTAAAGTAAAACGGTTTAATATTAGAGATTTATTTAAAAATCTAGCCCGTCGATTTCTTAATTTGTAAATTTTTAACCTCGATGAGACCCTAGTTCCTTTTAAATACCTAGATAATTATATATATAACGATATTAGGGCTAAAACTGTAGCTAGTAAAAGCGACCGTAGTAATTAAGATAAACGGTAAACTATATTAATATTCTATATTTTTACTAACGGTATATAATAAATTAAATTAAAAATAATATTTTATAATAAGCCCGTAGAGGAAGGGGGTTAATTATAAAAAAAAGAGGGCCTATTATATGTAAAAAGAGTGATAGTTAAATTTAATAAGACTACCTATAATAATAAATACTTATTTAAAAGATAGATTAAAAAGGAATTAATAGCGCTAATTAAGGGAGACGAATATTTATTAATAATAGATATCGCTTCTTTCTATAAAATAGATTCCATCCTTATGTTATTATATTAATACTATATTATACCCTACCTTATACTGCTAGGGACTACTTCTCTCCTCTAACTTTTCGATACTGTAATTAATAAGCCCTTTAAATAGTAACTTTCAAAAGTAACTAACGCTTATATACTTAATAAAGAAAAAAAAGTACTAAATAAACAGGAAGAGCTTAAATAAGAGATAGGTATAAAGAAAATAATAGTTACTAAAATAGTCGAAACGGTAGCTATTAAATTAGCTTATAAGAAGGGCTTAATAGTTAGCTAGGCCTTCTTATAGTATAGAATATTTATTCGGCCCGATAGTAGCTAGGTCGATAAGATCCGGATTAAAGACATACCTGCCGAGGCTATCGATTATACTAAGTAAGAGCTCTTTAATATAAAAGCCTATATTAAGCAAGAGACGTTATAAAAAGAGATTCTAGACTTTACTATTTTAAATAACGGGTTAAAGTATATTTTTATAATAGAAGAAGTCCGTAATAGCATTAATAGGTAGTTCGTCGACCTAATAGTCTAACCGCCGTATAAATAAGGGCCCGTTAAAGGTAGTAAGCTAGAGGACAGTTAGGGGCTCGGTTACTTACGTACGATTACTTCCAATTAATATTTTTACCCTTTTTACTAATTTGACGAAAAAAACTCAAAACCGACAAAAAAGCTAAAATAATTATTAAATTATATTAATTATAGGTCCGGCCTCGACGGCGAGCTCTCATTAGTTAGATCGATCGAAATGTTAACCTATGCTAAAAATAGGTGGTGGCCGTATTTAACCACTTTAGGTAGTATTACGATTCTGCCAGAGCGCTAGCAGGGCTGGCACGGGCTAGCGCAAGTTCGAGTTGCTCGAGTTTCTACGGTAGCTCTGTGGTACCTGAAATGTCAACGGGGAATGCTAGCCGGAGACCGAAAATAGTCCCCGAAAGAAGACGTGAACTTTGTGAAGAAAGTTGGAACCGGGTCCCGAGGCCCGGTAAGGTATCTCCGTACCTTGCTTTTTCGTACCTCTTTCATGAAGCTAAGCGAGAAAAGTTAATAGCGTGTCCCCCGTAAGAGAAATTTTGAGCATCACGAGGATCCGAGATTCAAGAAAGGAGTCATACGGATGAGAAGCCGAGACGATGGAAAGAAAAAGGAAAAAAAAAAAAAAAAAAAAAAGAGTGGATGAAACCCGCAAAATGGAAGAGAAGAGTCACAGCTTCACATGGCAAGAAAATTTCGTAGTGTACGGATACCTTTTTTAGCTGTGAGCTCCATGATCCCATCCATCCAATTGGACCCAGCGTCGCGGCATCCCGCGTTGACAGCTCCGAGAACCCTGTCTCTAATCCCGCCTATCCGCCCCTCCCTTAGCCGATTTTTTTTTCTCTTGGGTCTTGGGTTTCCAATTCTTTCTACGGAGTGTGAAATACGTATCTTCCAACACCGCTTTTTCCACAGTCAATCAGGTATCAATATTCAAGGGTCAAGTAATGAAGCAATGGTAGCGAGCAATGTTCGGACATTTAATCTGTATACCCTGGAATCTCGCATTATGAAATGCAAAGATTTTGAGTTGTTCACGATCACAAGAATCTGGATCATGGAACTGGGCTCCTTCCTAACGGGGTATGGCGTCGCCTGCCTTTTTTGCATCTTCTTAGCCTTTTGGTGCGTGGCATGGCATTTGGGCGCGACATCGCACATCTTTGCTTGCTTTTTCGACCTCGTAGCTGCAAAATGCCATCTTTCTTCCCCCCACTCTCTAAAAACCACCCCCTTGATCGAAGAATGTCTCTAAGCCAGGTTTGGGCTGTTGGTTGTCGTTTCTTCTTTTTTTTTTCTCTTCTACTACGAGGTAGGTAGGTATTCGTAGATGTTCCCCCACGCACGCCACGCAAAAACTCTTGATTTCTTATGTCTTGATCCAGCTAGACGGTCCATACACCCACTTTCATCCCCCCCCAATGTCCCAGTTATCCCCAAATGTTCACCTCGTGTGAGTCTGCATTCCAGTGAGGCTGCCAGCTGCTTATGGCACTCGTAAGCTCAGTAAGCCACAGTCAAGTTTTGCAGAGTTTTCAAGTCATACCATCATCATCATTACCCATCAAACATCCCGCCCTGCCGGAGTGCCTCGTTTCCTACAGCCGTGAACACATGTCTCTCCGTCAGAGTCAAGTCAGCCCTGTACGGATACCGACGAACTGGGAAAGAAGAGCGCCCGGTATACGCCTCCCAAAATGGTTTTCAGTTGCAAGTACCACAAACGGGCGTCTGAGACTTGTTCCTCTCGCACATTTTGCTGTGAGCGTGAATTGAAACGTTGTACCGGATTTGTACACTGCACACCCAGCAATTGAACGAGAAAAGTTTTCCCCCCTTTCCTCCTTAACTCCCATTACCAGAACGTGAGAAGCCATGAGAAAACATGTTCTTACTCAGCGGTACCTATGGGTATCTCGTAACTTCGCCTGGCGTAAGATGGCATATTCTCCCCCCCTAGGATCACGGTTCACATACTTCCAAATTCCCACAATCCAAAGATTTTCACCGTTGCACCGACGCCCTCCCCAACGCCGGGCGTCGCACCAAAAAAACAACAACAGAGTTTTCTCTTCTGATCTAGTCCGGAAGAATGCACAGGCAACTTTTCCATCGAAGTGGCCGAAACCCTTGGAAAGAAAATTTTCAAACCATCCAAATCCCAGACCGGAGCTATAGCACGAGCCTCTCTCTCTCTCTCTCTCAACATTCATCACGCAGGCATAGACTTCTCTCCATAACTCAGGCACGCATTACGTTCCGTATGGTGTGCCTATCCGTAGGTGTTCAGGTACGGCAGGTTACCCTGCCCTGTCCTGAGGCTCAACTCTAGGTAGGGCGCAAAAGAGCAAGGGGGGGGGGAAGGGGGCCGGAGGTTCAAAGAAAACCCCAAACTTCCAAGAATAAAAACGACCCATGTCCGGGAGATCTTCCCCGTGGGCTCCACACGCCAGCATTTCTCCTTCTCAAAGAGCCTCTCTTCCCTCAGGGGGGAGAGCAGGAGGTACCTCGCAGGCCAGATATGCATGCAAAGGTACCAAAGGCCCGCAGTACGAAGTACCTACCTCACCATGCCTTGCCCTGCCCTGCCTTGCGTTGTCCCCCACCGGCACATCCCGCGCCCGGTGCCGGCCAACGCCATTCGCAGAGCTCTGGGCGTGTACGACCAACGCACAAGCGTACGTCCGGATAGGATAGGCAAGGTACGAATACAAAACACACGCCCATGCATCTCTCTCACTTGCAAAGATGCAGATTTGTATCCGTAGTCCGTATAGAAGGGAGGGGCATTATGAAAAGTGTAGTTCTCATAGAGAGATCTCACAATGGGGCGCGCATTGGCGAAACTTGCACCACCGTCGATACACTTACACTCATCTAATCGCTAACCAAAAGGCCCCCCCCCCCCCCCCCCCCCCCCCAAAAAAAAAAACAGAGGCATGTTTCAGGCTACGAGTTCTTATCGTGTCTTGTCTTGCACTTTCAAAACCGAACAAGCGAGGAAAGGAGAGAAAAAATCTCTTCAAGCTGAGCTGAGCTATGAGCTACAACACAACAACGGCGAGCTTCTCTGCCCTAGGTCCGGGCCACACACCCCTCTGGAATGCCGGCTCGTAAGGCTCACCAATCGGGGGGCTGGCCAGGTGGTTACCTAGGTATAGCTCCTCCTCCCAGCGCCAGCGGTTATGCTTCCTGTGATTTACATACACACAAACTGGCCCGCAACGACGGCATCAGGCCATCGACAAAAGACTCAGTCTCACTCTCGCTCTCATCCCACTCCTTCTCGGGGGGAACGGCAGAGGCTGATACATAGACAGACGCCCCTTGGTTGGGGCCCGTGAGCCCAGCGAAAGCCCGCAACGGGGATAATAAAGTGATACGCGAGCCTACTAGAGGCATTGTCTCGCTCTAGCTGCAACCTGCCTGGTACCCAAGCCCTTCAAATCGCCTCAAGAAATTTTCACAAAAAAAAAAAGGAGATCCACATCCTCACCGGTGATGCACAAGTTGCCCACGTTCCGTCAGGTCAGGCCGAGAAGGGTCAAGTTTTGAATCGGGGAAGGCTTCAACGACGTGGGGAAAGGGACGGAAAATATGCACATGCCACTATGACACGTCGCCAGCATGAATGACGGGCATCAAGAAAGAGGAAAAAGAAAGGGGGCAAAAGATTCGTGAAATGAGAGAGGAAAAAAGACTTCCCCATCCCTTCGATTGCGTCCAGTTCCCACAGCAGCCCACTTCACTGGACGTAGGCTGGCTCCGACTCCAGCTTTCAAGCCCTTAGACGAGGAAGAAAAAAAAAAGAACCATCAGATCATACGATGTATCCGTCCGTACTCCGTACAGGGACAATCATACAATGACAAGCCGAATCGGTGATCTGAGAGCCACGGGAAATTTCCCCCGCTCCCTGCTTCCCAGCAAGCGGGCCGCGGAACGACGGCGGGCGGATACGATCTGTCTCTCTTTCACAAAGTGAGGTTTGTGTGCGTGCGGTGTGTGAACAAGCCCAGTCGGGGGAAAGGGAAGACTGTGACCGTTCCATCGGAAACGGGAAAGCCCAGCATTTCGTCGCTCCGAGATCGAACCATTGTCTGACCAGGTCAGGACGACACCTTCCCCCCTCCGACGACGGCCACGGGAAAAGAGAGACAAGAGAATGCCGATTGCGGATGAAACGGGGCCAGCCCAGACGACGTGAGGAGGGTCAATGTTGGAAAATGAGGAAGGGGAAAAAATGCCTCTCTTTACGAATGCCCAACAAAAAGCTCTGAGGCGGCCCGTGTCGGTTTGCACATCTGGCTGCCCATTTGCAATTGCTGACGTGAACGGCAACAGCACGAGGCAATTGCAATGCGGCGAGGGCATCTCCCCGATTGGTAACGAGTCCAGAAAAGTGCAATTAATTAGCGCCGTGGCCTAGATCGTTCAGGAATCAAACAAGGTTTTGTGGCTGCTACTGACCCCGGATAATTGCAAAAAGTCTGGACCGGTCTTGCAAGCTGTGTGATTCGGCCTGATGTTGGTTAAAAGTCAACCGAGGGTGGATGGAACGAGAGCCCGTCCAAGATTCGACGACGTGTGGTCGTGTCAATCTGTGACTGGCAATGAAAATCCTGACGCATTTCCCGGCAGTTGGCTCTTTCCCGTTGTCTACCTTGACGCGGCACGGCATTGAAGCTTCGTCAAAAGGTGCCACGCTGTTTGGACAGGAATAGAGAAGGGAGGGTCCCAATGTTTGAACCTCGTTTGCTGTGGCCGCCCAGGAAAGCTTTGGTTCGCCTCGACCCCTTGTCCCTCCCGTCCCGGAAACTTTCGACGCAATTGCCTTTGGACGGGTTCTTGCCAAATGTGCCCTGCGTTCACGTGAGGTGCGGGAAAGGTGCGGGTATGCTTCAGAGATGTTCCTTGCAACGATGCCGGACACGGGACGAGGCACGGCACAAGTTTGTCTCAGGCTCCTCAACCCAGCAGCAGTAGCCCAGACAGTACGAACAATGACACCTGGGACAACGGATCGGTTCGCTGCTCTTCCTGTCAGCGTTTCCGCTGATGATGCTTGGCCACCAAGCGTCTGACCGTGCCGTGTGTCACGGGCCTGCGCAGTCTTGTTCCCAGGGACCTGGGATGCCGTGCTCTTCGCGGATCAGTCCAGACTGAAAGATGAAACCGGTGTTCGTAAGGTGAGAGGAGCAAAAAAAGCCTGACGTCATTGTCGGCTTGTTGTGGTTCAAGAGAGAAGTTGTATTACGTGAGCCGGCTTATGGCTCTTGACGATGGGGCGTGGCCGCCGAGCGGACGAGAAAGAGTTCCAGCTTTCGGGCCTGCTTCTACCCGAGTTCGAAAAGCACCGATGAGAACAGAGTCTTTCGTCTGGTGCTAGACAATAGCCACCATGCTTCCATTCAATCAGAAATTACCTTAAATGACCGTCCACTTGTGAGGTATGCGGGTGAGACGGCCCCTGCCTCGTTGCAAGAGAGTGCTGTTACCGCAGCACCCGTCTGTGTGGTTGGACGGCAAAATATGTCTGGTGCTCATGCTACAGCGGGTAAAACGGATTTGTTCAATAGAGACTGACTGGCAAAAGGCCGATCGCCGTGATACGTGTTCAAGTGCATATAGTCGCTGTGCAGAAAAGGACGTGTCTAAGGTGTAAAACAGATAGCGCGGCGGTGGCTTGAAATGCAGGCGATGCAATGGTATAACATGCGGTTTGAGGTGCCATGGTGGTTCGACTGGAGACCTCCGGGCTGTTATTGAATGCCGTTGGCGCTCTGAGGTACAGAAGCGTTGGAGCACAACTGAAGCGAGCCGACGAAACCCGTCTCGGATATGAAGAATCAGTTGTGGCTAGAGGTGTACCTAGGCGAAGAGCACTCGGCGTATAACGAAGCAAAACTTTGTTTTGTTTTGTTTGTTGTTTTTGTCTCTTGGTACATGTCTCTGGAACGACTCACTATTCAATGTAAAACAGAACGGGTAGTAAAGCAACGAGGGCACAGAGCGGCATAACGATCAAGAACGTAAGTACCTAGGCCATGGTTGGGCGCCCAGAGACTAGACACCATGGATCGATCGATCTATTGCCCTCTCCGAAGAGAGACGGAGGGGAAAGAATATTCAGAGGCTGATCCATGCTGTGAAAATTTGCATCTCTGTTCCAACCCTGAAGTGCCGTAAAGCGAGGGCCAGGCCGCCAGGGAAAAGGGGTGTCAAAACGCAGAATGGCTGGTTTGCCGAGTTGCGGTTGAAGGAATAAGTCTCTGTAGCCACTCCCCCAACAAACTCGCAGAGAGATGGAGGCATAACCGACTGGTCGTATCAAACCTTGCCAACACCGTCACAATGTACCGTGTCCAAAGTGGAAGTCATCGTCCAGTTGGCTGTGGTGCAAACTGCTGCTGCTTCACAGGCGGAGGGAGAGGCGTAAGCTGCAGATGAAAGGCGAAGGCACACTTGTGTCCCTCATGCCTACTTCTTGGCCGGCATGATCGTGAGGCATTATCTTCCTATCGGGTTATTTGGCAATTCCAATTCGTCAAGGCAACCTAATGTGAACAGATAGAGGCGAACTAAAGGCGAACTGAGGCCATTGTGAGTGGCTCGGCGCTGACAGAGGTCTGTCTGTCACACAGAGTCTGCAAAGAGACAGAAACGGCTGGCAGGCGTCGGTTAAGGTAGTGATAGATCGTCTTGCGTGAATAACATCCGGAAGCTAGAGCTGAGGTGTTGTGCAGAATGGACTTGAATAAGGGTACTCCCTGCTCTGCACTCTACACTGGGTGAAGCATGCCTTCAGGCGAGCGCTGAGATGCGGACGCCTCTTCTTCTGGAAATTCCCATGTTGATTTGGAGCCCTATTCTGGCCACTTACAGCTGGCGAGACGCCTGGGCAAGCCGCCCTGTCCCCAGACTCCCACCTGGCCTCAGTAGGTAGGGCGCCTCTGGTGCGGGAGGGCTCTATAGTAGCACTGCACCATCGCCTCCACTGGGCCGCCACACCACTTGCTCAAGGATGTCAGAGCTGGTCGCAATTTGGACTGGGCTGGGCCGCACTCTCAAGTCCCATAACATCCTTGGCCTTTCTCTACCATCGGCGCTTGCCAATAGCGGCTGCCTTGACGGCTGCTGGTGGGTGTCGACTTTTGAGTGAAAGTGCACCACTGAACGGATTGAGGAGTCACGGAGTGAGTGTCGAGGTTAGCGTTCGGGCCGCCCTCGACACCCCACGGATTCGGTCCAGGTTCAGGGCCCAGGTCCAGCCAGTCCAGTCCATTGACTCCAGTCCTCCAGCCAGACCCCTCGGTTCTTGGAAAAATATTTCCTCGAACTCGAAGGCTCCGGATATCGGGGGGTGGTTCATGGAGACCGAGAGGGCCATGGTAATGAGCAAACCAGCTCCGAGATGAGGAGCAGTTGCTGATGAAGTGCACATCGTTGGTCTGAGCGGCGGTAGCAAACAGCTAATTTGAAAGGCTACCCCAGTGCCACAATCCCCTTTCTTTCACTTTTTGCTCGCCGCCTCCTCGGCTAAAAGTAGCTTCGTTGCTGTTCTCAGTCTCTCCTGTCCGTATCCGAAGCGCCCTGCACCGTACCACGCGCGGAGGGGTGGGTGGTAGTCGTCTGTTGGAAATGGTCAGATTGCGGCTACAACCGAGATTCCATCGCACATGAAATGAGGCTCTCGCAACTTGGCGGGGGTCCTCCTGTCAAATGCGTCTCCTCCCTTTCTTGTGGATCGTGGATCTAGGTGGGAAAAGAGGGTTCGGGTTCGAAAACCGCCTCCATAGTAATCCATTTCGGCTCGACCTGCGTCAGAGGACGACGGGGCAGAAGGATGGCATGTTTTCTCGCGCGGCTCACGTCATGACGGTCATGTGGGCGGCCTTGTGGTTGTTTACGGGTCCCCTGCCGTCTGCAAAGGATGCAGAAAAAATATTATTGAATTGACGATGGATGCCGCCGTATGAATGCGCAGGGTTGTGCGTGTGCGTGTTTGGCGGGGAATTGTCCTGCCAGGGGGGGCCCGGCGGTGCGTATTCGCCCTTTTTGGGATTTGACATCGGGCATAGCTGCTGGTGAGAGGTGGTGCCTGCGCTGCGGTGCTCGGAGACATGGGCCACTCCGGTCGGAGAGCGAGAGGCGAGAGATGTCGTGACGACTGTGACTTGGTGGATGGATGACAGGCAGGACGGACTACTGAAAGCATCTCATCTTTTCTCGCTTGCTCAATCTTGGTGCGATATTGCGAACTGTGCGCCATCGAGATGACCTCCACCAGTGGGACAGTAGCCATGCATTGTTATGTTTTGCGTGCTTGCGCAGGTGCGAGTAATATTGTGGACGTGTCGTTGAAAGCCATGGGCACATAGGGTAGGCGCAGGTTTCATCCCCTCGTACGCAGTTGCTCGATGACTAAGATGGCTAATGCTTGGTGTCTGTCTGACCTAGGTGACCTCAACCTGAAAGGTACCTTCTTTCTGTTACCTCAACTCAGCTGTACAAAGGTACCTGCTCTATA